AGATAGGCAGGGGAAGGAGTATTTTGATACAGACTACATAGATATCTAGTCACCTGAACAAAGAGTTATTTTTAAAATATTCATTGAATTCAGCCTACTGTGTAAATAGGTTCTTTAAGGAATAAAAAACAAGACTTTGTTCTTGTATCTACTGTACTCAGAACCAGAGAAAAGGCCTCTATGCCTTTTGGCTGCTTGCTGTCATTCACAGGAGTACCACTCTGTTCAGACAGGTAGGTACTTGCTAGAGTCAGACAGTTGAGAAGACCACTTCCAGCTATGCCATTTCTGATGAGGGAAGATATTTAATAGTGAAGATGTCCCTGTCAAGGTCTGGAAAGGTGGCAAATCATGTTTGGCCCTAATGTGTCTTCCTTGATTTTAGTGTTTTTCTGGCATCATCTGTGCTCAGATGAGTATGGGTTCTTAGTTGACTATTATTTATTAAGTCAAAAATTAATGTTCATCAAGCACTTGTTACCATAATAGATGCTGCTGATGATACCATACAGTTTTACATACTATATTTATGGCTGTGTTGTTAACTGCTCAGAACAGTGACGTCTGAAAAGTTCAATATAATGTGGAATGAGTGACTATAGTAAAGAGATGTGTGTGGAGCACTACAATGTGTAGATTCCCACAGCCTCTTGGCTTGGAAGATAATATAGAGCCTGGATTATGAAGCCTGGTTGGTTGTCAGAATAATCCAGGAAGCTTTAAAAGATTTAGATTCCTGGACAGCTCTTCCCAGAGATTTTTCTTAGTATATGTTTGTGAAAAATTGCTTTAAAATCAAAGTTTTAATTAAATACTTTAAAATTCACTAGAGTAATTAGTGGCTTAAAAGAAATTGTTAACTTCTGTAAAAAAAAAAGATCACTTTTGAAAAATAAATTGCATTTTAAAAATGTATGTCGAGATTTTTATCTTTAGGATTTCCTGTAAGTGTATACTTACATGTTACAGATGCTTGGTGAATAGTATCATGCAGTTGTAATGTGATTACGATCTTACAAATTAAGTATTCTCTTTTTTCAGTTAGGACCTCATTAAAAAGTAGATTTATAAAATTCTGGTTCATGTTGCATTTAAGTACTGCTTCCTTCCTCCATCCTATCCCATCATTTTAGGTAATACGACTAATGAAAATGGCATGATTCTATGAAGTACCCTATCCTAGTTTATAGGTTAAAACACAGAAAATACTGAGCATTAAAATAGTAGGATACCTTACCAATTTTCTATGTTGATCAAAATTGGCAGTAAACAAAAATTAGGAGTTTTATGAGAGTTAGATAGAAATAGAGATAGAGATAGATATAACTGTGCTTTAATTATGTTTTAAGCAATGGAGAAGAAAAGTTCAGAAGGAAACCATTAACCCTTAAGAGGTGAACTTTTTCAGGGCATCATTTTGTAAATTCTGAGTTCTGAATAAGGCCCAGAAAGTTAATTCTCCATTAAAGGTGGCAGTTTTAATATACTCTAGGAATAAAATCATCCATTTTCCCCTCTTGTTAGGTTCTAGTAACATTTATTAAGTAGTATGATAAGAACTGAGTGAGTGTTTGGATGCTGCAGCTATTTAATACGGAAAAAAGGAGGATTGTTAAATGAGAAGTTTGGTAATATGCCCAAATCCTTGCTTTGAAAAGGCATTAGGTAATTTGAAAGCCAGTAGGCTGACTCCCCAGCTGCTTTGAGAGGTCGAATTTAGGGGAGAATTTTGTGAGATGAAGTGATAAATATGAAATATTTATTTAATGTAGACTTCCATTATTGCAAGCACCACTGAGGTTTTCTTTTTGTTGTTTCGGTTTGGTTTTGATTCACAGGGAGAATGATGAATCAATCAAAGAAGAGAAATCTGAATTAAAAGAAAAATCTACAGGAAATAAGAAGGCCAATAGATTTCATCCTTATTCAAAAGATAAGAATTCAGGCACTGGAGAAAAGAAGGGTCCAAATCGTAACAGAGTTTTTATTAGCAACATCCCGTATGACATGAAATGGCAAGCCATTAAAGATCTAATGAGAGAAAAAGGTAACTTTTTGATAAACCCATTGTTGGATAATCTTCATATAGAACGGGGAGGGAGCTAAGCAAACTTTTTTTTTATTCCTGTTAGCCACACAGACTCAAAAAATTGATTTTTGTTTATTTCTTGACATATAAATTAAACTTTTCCTTTTCTTTCACTTGACACAATTTCATTATAAGGTAGTCTGGATAAATGAAGGTTTTGGTTTTTTTTTTGCCATTTTAGTGGGATAGTAGTGAGCCCAGTATATGCATGCCACCAAGAATTTTGTTAATGTGATTGCTTTGTCTAGTTGAAGTTTTTATAGATTTTTAAAGGACTATTGCATTAGGTAAGCAATACATTTAGCTTGTTAATGTATGAATAATAAGGTCTGATCATTTTTCTCCCAAAAGCTGTTTTGTTATTTTCTTGGTGGAGTCTGGAATCTGGCTGTGGAATTCATTTTGTTTGCATTGTCATGAATGCCATGATGCTGTCTCTGCAGTTCTATACTAAAATTGCGTTACTGCTGTTGCAGTTTTGTTTTCAGAATAATCTGAAAACCTTCATTTTATATACATGGTTGATTTTGGGGAAAAATAATTTTAATACTTGATCTTGTAAAAGTGAGTTTTGTTATCTCTTGAAAAATTGAGTTTCAACAGTCCTGCAAACTATGTACTTGGTTTTGAGGCTGATCTCTTCTAATAAATTTTTAAAAATTTGCATTGGTGTATCTGTTGTAAGGTGACAACTATTTGATTGGTTTTATTCATTGACTTTATTTAGAAAGTGTGTGGCTTGCTGTGAAGCATGACTTGTAAACTTAGTTTACAGACGGCAAACATGATTGAAGACATTCAGGTAGAAAGTCACCTTAAAACAGCTGTTGTGTGTAGGCGACCAAAGTTATTTGAAAAGTGCTAATGTTGATGTTTTTAATATGATAGGCTAAGGGACAATTTGTATGTATATGTGCATTTGTTCACCAACTATATCATGCTGGCCAAAATATGATCTGTAGCATGAATTAGGTTAATATTGTTGTTAGCTTTTTTAGAGAATGTGGATGATGTACACTTCTGAAAATTAGTTAAATTTATATAGCCATTGAAGGAGGGTATGTTGGTCTGGTTTTGATTGTTGGTGAATAATAGGTGCTTTTCTGTAGAGTTGTGCACAGGTGTGCAGTAAAGCAAGATACTGGTGTTTAAATGTATTGTTTCTTGGTATCTTCCTTTTGTATGTCTTATGTAGTTGGTGAGGTTACATACGTGGAGCTCTTTAAGGATGCGGAAGGAAAATCAAGGGTAAGTGCTATGGGCAATAATCTGCTTGAGGTTTAAAAGTTCCTCAGCGGTTTACTTTTTGTAAATACTTGTACCAGTTTTTGGAAACTTAAGTTTCATTTTGTTTTACTTTATTATGCAAGATTTGAGGCTTTATACTAGCAAGTCTGACACTTATACAAACCAAATCAGCTGCCTTGAAGGGATGGTTTTTGTAAATGCTCATAAAGGGCATTCATTTTTCTAATGCTTTAAGGTAATGCTTCTTCGTAGCCAAAAGATTTTAATACAGGATTTTTTTTTGTTGTGTTTTGATGTCTTCTAGGATATTTTTAAAGTCACTGAATTGATAATATTTCCCAAGAGTTTTATGAAAGGCCTATAGCTTATAGGTGTTAACTCAGAATATATGTTTGAATCTTACACTGAAGAGCTTAATTTGGTAGCCTACAGGACTACATAAGAGGCAGTGCTCTGATCAATTGGTATGAATAACATTGATGATTAAATTGACATAGAAGGAATTGGTTGATAGTAAACTTTTTATTTTTAGCAACAAGAAAGCAGTGTAATGAAGAAATAGAACGGGAAGCTTTTTGATAATGTTTAATTATACTAGTAAAAACCAGTTGGGTGCTTGAGAAATAAAAACTTTGTTATCACTTTGAGCAGTAATAATGACAAGAAATTATTTTTAAACAATTCTACTTATTTTTTTCTTTGGCATAGATTTTTTTTTTACATAGTTACAGCTGGATGCTATTAATATGTATGCAGCCAGTTTTCTTGAATAGAGAACTTTGTTAAAAATTAATGTTTCTTATTTTAATTTTAATAAAATTGAAAATTTTACATTAAAAACTGCTTATGCACTGTATATCTTTTGAAAATATTTGTAATAATGTAAGGATAGGTATATGAGAGCCTTCAATTATTTCCTTGAGTTACTTTTGATTGAATTTATGTGATGACATTACTTTGGTTTTAAAGAAGAGTCAGCTAAAAGTAAAAATGTGCTCCAAGTTTGTTAAATGCTAGATTCTACAATCTTAAATGGATAGATCTAAAAATTTACAAAAAATTTGTGATCACTTGCCTGTTATGTTCTGGAGGTTTAAAAGACAAAAAATAATTGTATTATTGCTTGCTTTTAATGATTTAAATGTTAGAATCTACCATTAACTTCATCTACTGATCCAAAACTTTTTTTCTTTTGCATATATTGACAAATCTACCTGGATATAGGGTTGTGGGTAAGAATTTTTTTTTAAGTATCTTAAGTCAAATTTAAACTTCTTATTGGAAAAAAAATCATAGTATATAAACTTTTCCTATAATTTTTTTTCCCTATTAAGTGTGGTTGAATTCAAAGATGAAGAATTTGTAAAGAAAGCACTAGAAACTATGAACAAATATGATCTTAGTGGAAGACCCTTGAATATTAAAGAGGTAAGAAATTTCTTATATTCAGAGTAACTTAAACATTTGAATATAAGGACATGTTTTCTTTGGATTTTCATCTGGAAATGATACCTGATTGCAATATTCTTTAAAGCATAGATGCTTATTAAAGCATTATTTAATTGGTGATAGTTTTGCTTGTACATGATTTCCTATTTGCCCTTAGGCCATTATCCTATATATTTGATTTGTTCCAAGTGATTATAAACAGAAGTGCATGATTTTAAAAAGTTAATATGACACAGAAATTTAAAGATGACAGACTTCAGGTTCTGACTTTATTTGGTATAGACATTTTCAGTTTTTAGATTATGTAGTTTGATTTGAGAAATATTGTAGATATTTTTGTAGTTGATAATTAAATGTTGCTTTATAATGCAAACACCTTATGGATTTGAATAAAATTGATAAATACTTTTAATAAAATTGACCTGAAATTATGCCAGATTAAAATTTAAGAGAAGTTATAAATCTTTTAGCTTCATTTATATCTGGAACTTGGAAACCCCTAAAATGGAAATGTTACTTTTTGTATGGAATTACAGCAGTATAACTATGTTGACAAAAGAATGATCAGAGGATACATAAAAAACTGTTTACAATTAGGTATAATTTACCTTGGAAGTCATTAGCTTGAATAGCAGTCATTTTCATGTGTTTCTTTAGTTTATATTGTTACTCTTAACTGAATAGTTTGATCACGGACCTGTTATGTATATATCCTTGCTAAAGTCTGTATTAAAAAAGGATAGGGGATATAATTTGGGGACCTCGAAGAGTCTACCAACATGGATGCAAATCATTGGTAGTAGAACAGTACTGTCAGTCACAGTTTAATCTAGTATAGTATTAGTTTGAGTCTCAGCTCCATCACTTTCTAGCTGTGTGACTAGTGGTGTTACTTATTCTCTAAACTTTAGTAATTGTAATAGTACTGCTGATAATACTTACCTTGGAGGGTTTTTATGAGGATTAATGAAATACATTTATGAGGATTAAAAGAACTCAGGCTCTGGCATTAGAGAATCTGTGTGACCCAGGATAAATTACTTGACCGCTCTACTTCTTTGTTTCCTTATCACTAAAATGGGAATAATATTAGAATCTATATGATAGTGTCAGAGGATTCAGAGTTAATATATGTAAAACACTTAATAAATGTTAACTATTTGTTACAATTGTGATATTATATAAAGCACTGAGCATAGTGCTGAAAATACTGTAACTACGTAATAAATGTTAGCAGTAACAATAATTTTGTTGTTATTCCTGTCCAAGGTGGGAATGTTACTAGTCCTTGGTCTCTTGTTCCTGGATAGCGATAATAGCTTAAAGACCGTGCTGCTGACAAATACAAGTATCCCACATACAAGTCTCCCATGTTCATTTTTTGGAGTCAGCTTCTGAAGTTCTCTAATTCTGCTTGAGTCTGAGAGTTTATTTTATTTTATTTTTTTTTAAGTATTTTAACCAGGAAATAGAGAATTGGTAGAGAGAGTTTAGACTGTTGTAGTCTGTGCCAGGCATTGATTAGGTAATTTCTGTGCATAAGCCAGGACTAATATTCCAGAAATGTGTTGATACCCTAATAATTTCCCACAAGAGTGACATTTGTAGAAGAGCCACCATTTTGGAAATTATTATTTTTATGATTATGACTTGCTTTTTTATGGTATTTCCTATTCCTCTTCAAAAGATAAGTGTTACAGATTCTGTGTCTTTCTTTTTAACTGGAAAAAAAGTTTATTGGATGCTAACACCAAGCCGATGTTGTTGATGTTCTTTTAAGTTTTAGCACATTGTGGATCCTCAGTAATATTTCAGAGACCCTGTAATAGAATTCTGTGATCCAGGTTGATGTAGGATACTTCCATTTTTAACTTCTTAATGAGAGAAATGATTGCGTTTAGCCTAGCTAAATGATGAGGTGTTCTTTATTCAGTTAACTTTTTTGGATTAATATCTATCTCTAAAGATCCCTTTCTTGGCATTACCTGATTTACACATGGTGGCTAGTGTCAATGTTGAGAAATAGTAGTTTGAGTCTAGGAAAAAGTGTATTTCCAAAGTTCATTAACAGATATTAGACTTGCATTTTTAATTTAATTAAATGAGGGTTAGTAGCTGTTGTAAACTTATTATAGGCCCTCTCATAGCAATAGCAGACAATGACTGGCAGGCTGACATCTAAGGGGAAAGAGAAATAAAAGCCATGCCATGTAGTAGGTAGTTTTATATAAATTATAGTTTGTATATTCTACATGATATGTGTTTATATTTTTGTGTGTACATGTATTTATATGTGTCACATATAAAAACAAAAATATAGCAATATGCTTTATTAATATTAAGATGTTAAGGACAGTCTTAGTGGTTCATAAAGCCTCTTCCATGCTATATCCTACTGCTTCCCTCCATAGTATCCATTATTCTAAGTTTTGTATTTGTGTAAATTTTTGAAACCTTAGACCTGAAGCATTTATTATTTATTAACTTAAAAAGTTTTATGGCATTCTTCAAAGCATTTATTTCTTTGCTTTTGTATTTCTTTTTATTTCTTCATGGTGAAGAAATACATTGGAAGCCAGAATACCTTTATTCTTACATTCACTTCACCGTCTAGTCTCCCAGCCTTCCTAGAAAATTTATTAAAGTCATTCAGCCTTCTTTTTTTATCAATATTCCTAGGCTGAGGCCAGCAGAGTAGGGTTGATGGTTTCATATATCATACTCATCTGGTATTGCAGATGATAGGCTATCTGTGTGTTTGTGTGGTTTTTGTTTGTTTTTTGTACTCTACCTAGTGAGATGAGTGAGAAGTATGTTTAAACTTACTTTTTATGTTTTGTTTGAAGGTAGAATATTTCTTATAAAGTTAATGTACTGAAAAAAAAACAAACAATATTTAGTACCATTCTTTCTTTGGACACTTAGCCTTTCTTTATCTCCCTTCTTCCTCCATCTCAGATCATAATCACTGTTGAGGTTGGAGAGAGGTTGAAAGGTGGATAATGCATTTTGTTCAGGAATGAAATTTATACATTGTAACAGTTCCCCTTTACCCCAGTATTCCTGAGTTTTCTAACAGTCTGTTCTGCTGTTGAAAACTTTGAAGTAGTGTGAATTTGGCATTGCATTGGGCATCTAGTGGTAAGAATTCACCACTACTGCATTTTGAAAAGAAAAGAGTCACAGTAAGTATTTCGTTCCTCTTTGAGTTTGGATTTATGCATATGTGCTATATACATGTATACTTCTATGAGGGCAAAATTAAACTAATTTCAAGTTCTTAAGTGACTTTAGTGATTGGAAAGAGGTATTTAATTGATATCCCTGGAGACTGAAATCTTTTGTCTGTCCACAGGTTTTTATGGGACTGAATTCTCTGGATGAGAAAAAAGCTCACTCTTCAAGAGGGCCCGTAATTTGAGCCAGTTGGGATAGCTGCTATAGAATTTGAAGTTGTTATTTTAGAGATACAGACTTACTTACGTATCTAGTGGCATTTAACATTCAATGTGTGTTATAGGATCCTGATGGAGAAAATGCTCGTAGGGCATTGCAACGAACAGGAGGATCATTTCCAGGAGGACATGTACCCGATATGGGATCGGGATTGATGAATTTACCACCTTCCATTCTCAATAATCCAAACATTCCTCCTGAGGTTATCAGTAATTTGCAGGCTGGTAGACTTGGTTCCACAATTTTTGTTGCTAATGTAAGTTTAAGCTTTATTCTAAAATTTTGCTGTTCAGATAATTTAGTTCTAATCATGAGATCATTTAGTTAGATGAATGGACCATAGGCTTATGGAGCATTTTGTCTACTTTTAACTGAAGTATATGAAACAGTAATTTTTGTAAACTCAAAAACCCAATTTAAGTCTATACATATAAGGTGAGATTGTAAATACAAGTATTCAGGATTTTTTAAAAGAGAACTGTGGAATTTATAAACACTTAAGCAGTTCTTGAAATTATTTATGTTTATTATATGTGGTTTTGTTCATATTGGTAAATGGATTTCTTTCTTTAGCTTTGTGAATGTGCACATTGTAGCTGGTTTGTTGTTTGTGCTAAGCTTTTGAACGTCAGTGATATCAACAATACTTTCAAAAATCTGAATTTCTCTCAGTAAAAGTAGACATGAAAGTTTCAAAACAGGATTGAGCAGGCTGTTTTGGGAATTAAAAAAAATTAAGGGTGAGGAACAACACAGATGTGGCTTAACTGATCTTTAACAACTTAAGATGTTTTTATTTGAATACTGTTGATATACTATTTAATAAGAATTATGGTTCTTCATATTTTTGAGAGTTTAGAAAAGATTTGTTTGTGTTATTTATGGGGAGAGGGGTTTATTAGGTATGTAACTTTATATAATTTTATATTAAGCTTGACTTCAAAGTTGGTTGGAAGAAGCTAAAGGAAGTGTTCAGCATAGCTGGAACTGTAAAGCGGGCAGATATTAAAGAAGACAAAGATGGCAAGAGCAGAGGAATGGGCACAGTCACTTTTGAACAAGCAATTGAAGCAGTTCAAGCAATTTGTATCCTGATTTACACTTTAGTATTACTTAATAAGGTTAAAGAAGCTTAATAACATTTTGTGGGGGATCATGGAATTTAAGGTTGCCTGGCTTAGAAATATGTATTAGAATTTGGTCTCCAGCACATAAAACCTTTACTATGTCCAAGTACTAAAGTCACTCTTAAAACTTGAATTAGCCATATTGTACAGGCCTGGTATGAACTTTTTTCTACTTTCTCTTCCTGCCACAACTAATTGTATATATGTACATGCTGTTGACAGTTACATAATCCACTGTACATTAATACAATTGCTTTAAATAAAGCCTTGTTAATTTTCTTTTTTCATGGTTGAATTAAAAGATTATATTTTATTTATAAATTATAAAATAAAACTATAAAGCAAAGAATTGAAGATTTTTCTTTGAATATATGGAAGAGACTAATACAAATAAGTAAAATTTTAAAGATGTTGATTAAAATATTAGAGATAATCTGATTAAAAATGTGTTTATGTTCAAGTATAATTTTGTAGTCATCTTAACTGGCTTTCCTTGACTGAACCAACAGCTATGTTCAATGGGCAGTTTTTGTTTGATAGACCTATGCATGTGAAAATGGTGAGTTCCTGTATATCACTTTAGCTCCCTAACTTCTTCAAATGTTTTATCTGCTCTCCTCTACATTACAAATCTTTTTAGTTATATATTAACCATAAAATAAACTTTTTTGCAATTAGGATGACAAGTCTGTCCCTCATGAAGACTACCGTTCACATGATAGTAAAACACCACAATTACCACGTAAGTAAAAGCTATTATAAGAAATAATACATATTATTATTCTTTTTCAATTTTATTACATACTAAGCAGAACTCTTTATTTTTATACATACGTGCCCAGCTGCCCATAGTTTAGTGTTTGGAGTTATGGAGATAGTTTGGCAAATTGAGTAAGAAGATGGAGAACATACATACGTGCCACTTTTTTTTCTTCTTGTAGTTTTTCCTGATTATAAAAGCTATATATACTAAAAAATTTGGTAAGCTCATACATGAGGAGGGAAGAAAGTCCTTGTAATTTTACCACACATGAGTGACCTTCATTATAACACTTCTTTGCATTTTCTTCCAGATTTTCCTTCTGCATATATGCTTTTTTACATAATTGAGAACTACCATATAAATAATTTTGTGTCTTTTGTTTAACATTAGAGTATAAGCATTATTCAGTGTTGAAAATACTTTCCAAATATTTTTTATTGGCTATATAGTAGTTTCTCCTATGGATGCTCCATAACTATTTCACTGTTATGCATATTTAAGTGTTTTAACTTTTTTTTCCTTTAATCACCAACAGTTTTTTTTCTTTTTCTTTTCCTTTCTTTTTGTATACAAATCTTTGGTATGTTGTTGATTTTTTCCTTAAGTTAGATATCCTGAAGTATTTATAGCTTCTTGGGTATGTTCATTATTATCCAATTGTTTCCCAAAGGATTATAAAACAGCAGTGTAATATACTTAACATCTGTGCCTCAGTGCCCCATCTGCAAAATGAGGAGGCTGATAGTATATACTTCATGGGGTTGTCATGAGTATTACATGAGTCAATATATAATACACATAAAGCACTTAGAACGTTCTGGTATAATGTAAGTACTCGGTAAATACTAGCTCTTGTTGTTACTATTTTATTGTATTTTCTTTCGTTATTATCAAAGTTTTTTATTATAAAATATTTAAAATATATAGATAAATATAAAATCACTCATGTAGCTGTCATGGACCATATTTGTTTTAGGTGATTTTTCTTTAAAATCTTTTCTTTAAGATTCTACAGATAAAGTTGAGATTCTCCTCCCCTGCCACCTCCCACCAGATACCTTACCTAGAGGGTATCTGAGTAGTGTTTGTCTTCTAGGTTTTAATAGTTTGATTACACATTTATGCATCCATAAGCGTTATATGAAATTGTTTTGCTGGATTTAAAATTTAATGTGACATTATATCGTACATGTTATTCTGCAGCTTGCTGTTGTTGGTTTAACATTGTTTTTGAGATTCATTTATGTTGATGGGTACAGCTCTAGCTCCTTCATTTTAACTACTAATACCCCACATTTTGTATATTTTTGGTTTTTAGGTTATTTGAATTTTTTGTTTTTGGAAGCAATACTAAGTTGGGGAGTGTTCTTTTTCTGTTAGAATAATCTGTTCTCTTAATGTTTGCTGGAAATTATTTGTAAAGCTGTCTGGCCTTGGTGTGTTGTTTGGAGGAAGAGTTTTAACTACTTACTGTTCATACTTCTGTTGCTTCTTGAGTCAATTGTAATTTCTAATTTTTGGAGAATTTTACCACTTTTGTTCATTTTCAGATTTATTGGCATAACATAGTCTCTTTAAACTTCTGCCACATCTGTAGTTCTTTTTTTAAATTCCGAAGAATTAAATTTCTCCTTTTTTTTTTCAGTTTTGCTTAGGGATTTGTAAATTTTATTAGTGCTTTCAAAGAAGTCAATTTCATTTTTTGTATCTTAATTTCTGCTCTTAGTTTTATTATTTCCTTATCTCTGTTTCTTTAGGTTTAGACTCTTACTTCTATCCTGACTGCTTAAGTTGAGTGTGTACTTCACTAATTTGCAGGCTCTCCTTTTTAATACAAGTAGTTATGACTATAAATTTGGCTACTATATACAAGTTTTGCCAAGGAGTACTTTTATTGTGATTTGATTTTTATTAAATTACCATTATGATTTCTTCTTAAGTCATGTATTTTGAATTTCCAAATGTATGTGTTTTTTTTTTTCCTTGTTAATTTCTAACTTAACAGTGTGGTCATAGAAGGGTCTATATGACTGTGAGTCTTTGGAATTAATTTGAATTTTGCATTGTGGCCTCATATATTAGACATTTTAATGAGTATTCCAGGTGTGCATAGTGAGTGCACCATTCTATATAGGTCTATTAAATCAAGTTTGTTAGCCATTTATATTATATCTCTGCTAATAATTTTGCCTGCTTGTGCTACCAATTATTGAGAGATGTATATGGTAAAATCCCCTGCTGTAATGATGAATTTGTCTATTTTTCCTTGTTTTTACTTCAACAATTTTGAAGCTAATTAAGCATGTGCATACAAGTTTAGAACTGATATATTTTCCTAGTGAACAAGATTTTATCATTATAGGGTGATTGCATCTTTAGTAACTACCTTTAAGTCTTTTTTGTCTAATAGTAATATAGCTACAACAGCTTTGTTTTGTTTATTCACATTCATGAATTTATTTGGATTAATTCCCATTTTCTTATTTTGTGTTTTATTTTTCTACTTTTTACAAATATTTATTTTTCTCCTGTCTTGCTTTTTTAGTGGTGATATCCCAGATATTTTAATGTCTTTATAAAGTCTGAAGTTAATATAATTATTCTTTTAGTCAATAGCAGAGTGACCTTTGAATGCTCTAATCCTAATCACTTTCCTACTGAACTATATACTGTTATTCCTCATTCTTTTAGTTCTATATTGCTTTTTTCAATCCCCAGATTAAACATTATTATTAGTTTCCATTTTCTTGTCTCATCATTTCTCTGCTTTCATAGACTGGCACTAATTTTTTCCCCTGAAACATGTATTTTAAAAGCTCTTTCAGTGAGGATCTGTTGTTAGTAAATTCTCTCAATTTTCATTTGTCTATATATGTCTGAAATTCAGAGATAGTTTCACTAGTTACCTAGTTTAAGGTAGTTGTTTTCTTTCAGCGCTTTGAAAGTACTCCGGTCTTCCAGCTTCTATTGTTGCTATTAAGTCAGCTATCAATTGAGTTGTCCTTTCTTTTAGATAAGCTGTGCTCTTCATGTAGCTTATTTTAAGATCTTTGTCTTTGGCATGCAGTTTTATTACAATGTGGGTGTGGATTACTATTTGTTGGGCTTTCACTATCTGAGAATTCAGGGTTTTTTTAAAATAAATTCTGGAAAATTCTCAGCTTATGTGTCTTTGAATACTGCCTGTTCTCCCTTTGTAGGGCAGTCCTTTCCTGCCTCAATCAAGTTTACCTTATCACTCAGGATGTCATCTTTTAAGGTCTGAGTGTAATCTTTTAAGATCCTGGCTTTATAAAGTAGGGGCTTCCAATTTACTTTTCCACTATTAGTACTCTTCAGTTTATTTAGATAAAAAGTATCCTTTATTCGTATTTCTTTAATATCTGTTCTTTTTGAGATTTATGATTTTATATACTCTTCTCTATTGAGATGTAATATGAACTTACAGACTTTGATAGAATCAGTTTGTTTTAGTTAAGTTAATCATCATTAAACTTCCCATTTTTCCCTCCTGACCACCCTTCCTTTGCTCAAATTATTATCACTTAGCAGTGGGAGTCTCCTCATTTCCTATGCCTCTGATATTCTTACTTTCTGGTAAAAACAAGATTTCCCAGATCCATGAAGATTTTTCTTGTTCCAAGTCATGAGATTGACCTACTTTCAAGGAGTCCTGGTTTCTTTTAGTGAAGAATGATGTTAGAGATGAAAACAGTGTTCGGTATAGATGTGAGCATTGATAGTCAGATAGGCTATTGCTTTCAGTTGAACCCTTTTTAGGGACTGAGCTGGAAAAAGATTATTCAGGTCACGTTTATATTTACAGTGTAACACAATGTATCTTTAAAAAATGTGTATATTATATGTTTTTCTCAGCCCCTGCAACTTAATAATTTCTATATTGACTAGCAAGAACTTTATAAAACCATGCTCAAGCTTAGTAGAACAGTGCCCACAGTCTTTAAGTTCATCAGATTATCTTCGTATAATCTATTTTCAGTGAACTTAATTAGTTTATTTTAAGAGGGGAAGTAAAAAGAATACTGGATTTAGAGACAAAAAACTTAAATTCTAGTCTTAGCTTAATTACATAGCTGAATAGCATTGTACAAGTAACTTAAGGTCTCAAAAGTGACCTCAACTGTGGATAATAGATGTGAAAACACTTAAGGTACCATGTAATTATAAATAAATATGTCAGTGATAAAACTAGGTAATATAACATTTGCTGTATTCAGTATTATGTTTAACGGTTTTTGACTTTTTAGTTTGATTTGAACCATCTTAAAAGTAGTTTTCTTAGATTTTAAGGGGATCTACACATTCCCGAAAGATTCTTATTTTCAGCTATATATGCCATTTATAAGGTGATTTAATATTATTCAGAATTCTCTTGGTATTTCTTTACTCTTTTTCAGCATGCCTTTATGTAGGGTATAAGATGGACCTGCTTTATAAAACACTTTTCATTAATAAGTGATATTATAGTTAGGCTTCAGTGTGCTACATTCCAATGCTCTTATTTATAAATTTGCAAAATTTTAGAAATACTACTATAGGCATATAGCTTTAAAAAATTTTTGGTGCCAATTAGTTGATCATACATGAGTTGGTAATAATATTCTTATTTGTGTTTTAGGTGGTCTTGGAGGCATTGGAATGGGACTTGGCCCAGGTGGACAGCCTATTAGTGCCAGCCAGTTAAACATAGGTGGTGTAATGGGAAACTTAGGTCCAAGTGGTGAGTATTCTTTATTATTTCTTTTTAAATGATACATTTGCTAGACTAGATATTTACTAGTTTGTAATAATGTTTAAAAGACTCTTAAGTTGAATATTTAAGATGATGCTTTAGTCTGAAAGAGGAATGAAACCTTGAGAGCAGAAAACATGAAAGAGGTTTGGCAAAGGTCAGGAGAATTTCTTTGAGGCCAGCCATGTTCTAGCTAGCCTTTTAGCACTGTGGCTTTTGAAATGTCTTTAAGGTTGAAGGAGAATATTCAACATAGTTTGTGCCTTGTGTATTATGGATATACAGTATTTGTGAAATGGCTAAAATGCTACCATATCATAAGCAATTTAAATTTGAATATTTAGTTGGGAAGGTAGCCTTTCAGATAGCTGTTTAGCTCTTCACCTAACCTATAGTTTATCTTTGAAGATTGATTTTTAAACTTTTTGTTTTCAGAACCCTTTTATACTTTTAAGATTTGTTGAGGACCCCAAAATGTTTGTTTATGTGGTTATATTTGTCAGTATTTACTGTACTAGGAATTAAAACTTAGAAATTTTTAAAAATTACATATTTGTATAAAATAACAGTAATAAGCCCTATCTGTTAACATAAACATAATTTTTAAGAAAATAAACTGTATTTTCCAATGTAAAAAATTAGCGAGAAAAGTAGGTATTGTTTCACCTTTCTGTACGTTTCTTTAATGTTTGGTTTAATACAAGCTCTTATATTTGCTTCTGCATTCAGTTTGTTACGATATCATATATCAAGTAGTTTCTGAAAAACTCCACCTTACATTTGTAAGAAAATGAGAGTAAAGCAGTCAGCATCTTTTGGATAATATTATAATAGTGTTATTTGAATAATGAAGTAGCTTTGGCCTGCAAAGTTCCCCAGACCATATTTTGAGAATTGCTGTTTTAATTGATGGACTAATAAATGCTTTCTGGTTCCTGTTAATGTTGAGATGCAATAGTTACACTTAAAATTGTAAGCATAGTTATGGTAATCATTCTGATCTAAACAGATGGAAATTTTCTCCCTTACTCTCAGGCCCTCTACCCTCCTAAACACATACTATTTTTATTTAAATTTTTTACTGCTCCCTTAGCTGCCATATTTAAAGGAGTCCTTGTTTTCTGACCTTATCTCTAAATCTGCTGTAGTCATATTTATGTGTTTGAGCTGAAAAGAAAATGAACAGTTACCCAGTCCTGGATATTCTCTAGCTGAATGTGTGACCAGTGACTTTTATTTTCTTATCTAATGAATATTCAGAGAGGCCTTTTTGAAGACTCATGGTTAGACAACTACCGTAGCATATTGCTGTAAACCATCCCACCTGTGCCCTGCTGCTTCCCTAGTATTCCGTTGTGACTAAACCAATGATATCTATTTTGCTGTGTTGCATTATGTCATTCTTTAGTCATTAAAAGAAGATTTACTGAAAGCACATACTGTGTATTTTATTTGAGGTATGGGAATGGATGGTCCAGGTTTTGGAGGAATGAATAGAATTGGAGGAGGTATGTATAAGCATTTGTTTCTTTGTATGTACTCAACACCATGTTTAGTAATTAGAAACGATGTTGAGAATTCCAAGGAAAACAAAAGCCATGGTTTATTGTTGGCTCATGTCCTAAAGACTGCTAGCAGAAATTGAGCCTGGTACATACTTAAGGGATATGGAAGGTGATATGTTAAGGAGCAGCTGCACAAGGTAGGGTGGATGAAGAGCTTACTGGTGAGACTTAACATTTACCCAGTGTACCTTTCGGTTGTACAACTGACAGTCAAATCTCAAAATTAATCTTTATTCCATAGGAATTGGGTTTGGTGGTCTGGAAGCAATGAATAGCATGGGAGGATTTGGAGGAGTTGGCCGAATGGGAGGTAGGTAAATGTATGTAGTGGGATGTGTATGCTACATTTCATTTTCCTTGTTATTAAAAATTCTCCCCCTTTACATAGAAGTGGGTACCATAATGTTTTCAGAAGACAGAGAACGTAAGGGCACTGGGGATGGGGACAGGCATGATGGGACTGGGATATATATGGCATGTGAGGTAAGTTGGGTAAATCGTGGACTTTTTGTATTTGTGATTTTGCTGTCTTTACAGTTTAGTTTCAGTAAGTTTCTAAACGGATTACTTGTGTATTAATAATACTTGGAAAAGGCTTAATCTGTTGCATAATCTTTTCAGAACTATACCGAGGTGCGATGACTAGTAGCATGGAAAGAGATTTTGGACGTGGTGATATTGGAATAAATCGAGGCTTTGGAGATTCCTTTGGTAGACTTGGTAGGGTTGGCTGTTTACTTCTCCTTTACTTTTTACAGGTTATATTTTTCAAAACTTGATTCTCTTTTTTGTGTGTGAAAAATTGGAAATTTATAATGTTTCATGCAATTTATTAAAGAAAAATACTTTAGGGATTTTAATGTACTGGTGCTCTTTTTCAGTATCTTCCATATTTGAACCCTAAATCTGGAAGAATTTATACTTTTTAGTTGTACATCTTCTGAGAGCATAGTACCTTGGGAATTTTAAAGTATGATTATTTAAATTAATTAGTATATTATCTTTCCATCCTTGTTTAGGCAGTGCAATGATTGGAGGGTTTGCAGGAAGAATAGGAGCTTCTAACATGGGTCCAGTAGGATCTGGAATAAGTAGGTTTAAATTTTACTAGAATTTTACAGTAATTTTTGAGTGCTTGCAAAAAACTTTGCAAGAGCAGTTATTGTAGTATAGTAATACTTTGTTCTTACATGTTATTATGTCTTGTCATAATTTAGAGAAGCTTTGATAGTTATTGAACTTTTCTGTTTTATTGCTGTTTGACATTTCTAAACTAACACCAGAATATGTGTTAACTGTCACCCAATTCAAGAAACTTTTTGCCAACTAAAGAATCTTGGGATTTCTTTGATCATATGTCAGTCAGGAACAACTTTAGCTTAAGCATCAACTTTGTTTCCTTGGAAAGCTTATTCTCTATAACTGCTATCAGTTACTAGCTTATTCCATCGTGAACACCTGTGTCTTTTGGTAGACACAGGTAAATTGCCTCAGATCTAACACTTCTAGAGACTTCTTGAGATTGAGGGCAAAATTGAAAGAGGTGCTTATTTCATCTCCTCTTAAACTTTTGGTGTGATAGAATCAAAAATACTGTAGTTGCAACACTGGGGAAAGCCAAATTTTCTTCCATCTGTTTCCAGTACCACGTTTTAGACCTTGTATTAAGCCTTAACACATGGCTTAGTTTTTGACCTCCATTGCTTACTGAACCATGTCTCTGAGCTCTCCTGAACCATGTCCCTGTGAGCTCTCTGTACTTTATTGACTTCCTTTAATTGAAATCTCACAAATAAGAGACACAATCTACTTGAGCCGTTCTAAGAGTGAATTAAAAAATCTTTGTCAGCTGAAGATACTTCCATTTTCTCTTGCTTCTCATTTTTTCCCTTCTTTTCATAATATTTTCAGCCTTGGCCATTTTCCTGTTAATCATAGCTTCCTTGCCTTCCTTTTTCACCTCAGTGTTTATACTTCTGTTTCCCTAATTTTATATTTGCTATTCACAGAAAACCAATTTGAGGGTGATGTTCATTTTTAGAATGGGGATATTAGGTGCCAGAAAAAAGGATATGTTTGAGAAAGAGTGGGATTGGAATAGTTATCAGGGACTTGATGTGTAGGAACCAAGTGGGTATGAGCTACAAGCTAGAGTCTCAAGCTCTGGCTAAAGGGGTGCGATTCCATTTTTTGTTGTTGTCTCCACAAGTTCTGTATAATGTGAGAGTAAAAGTTAGGTTTTTCTATGGTTATTGAAAATTGAATTGATATGAAAAGAGAAATTGTATGTGAAACAGAAGATACTGAGGTGAAAGGTAAGCTAGGAAAGGAATATTATGTAGGAGAGTATAATGAGAGCAACATTGATATGTTGGAGTTGTAATTATTTGAATTTATCCCATATATCTTTGTTCTAACAATTACTAAGCTTGGTATTTTTTTTTTTAAAGTGAGGATAAAAACTACTGTAACATTAATGGATAAAGTAATTGGTAGAAAATACATGTAACTTATATGATATGTTTTATGATCAGAATATAATTTTATAGAAGTGTATATGTATAATGTTGTTATGTAGCGGCTAGAATTAACAGATTCAGTTAGCCATTAACATTCAACTAACCGAATGTATACCAAATTAAAATCTGTTTCTTGGAAGATTGTTATATTGTGTGTATGAAAATAATTTTATATTTATATATTATCTAATTACATAAATGAATTAATTTTTCTCTCCTTTTCTTTCTCAAAAATGATTCTCTCCTTCCTCTTTCTCCCTCTTCCTTCTCCTTTTCCCTCTGTTTTTAAAACAAAAACACCGAACTCCCAAATCCTCCCTTCCCTTCTTGAAAATCCAGGTGGTGGAATGGGTGGCATGAACAGTGTGACTGGAGGAATGGGGATGGGACTGGATCGGATGAGTTCCAGCTTTGATAGAATGGGACCAGGTATAGGAGCTATACTGGAAAGGAGCATCGATATGGATCGAGGATTTTTATCGGGTCCAATGGGAAGCGGAATGAGAGACAGAATAGGCTCCAAAGGCAACCAGATATTTGTCAGAAATGTAAGCAACTAAATGTAAAGGATACTTAAAATTATTTTTTTCCTTGTTTATCTGTTACTAATACCTTTTTTCATTCTAGCTGCCTTTTGACTTGACTTGGCAGAAACTAAAAGAAAAATTCAGTCAGTGTGGTAAGTATGCCAATGACTGTAGATATGTTACTAATTATGGAGGAAGAATTGATTTTAAACTTTTAAACACTGTGTTTAGACCTTTACCTGTCCAGATGCTTATTCCTGGATAGTATGACAGATCTAATTCTACTTGAAATAAGTGAATTATTTTGCTATCCTTGGATATACAGCAGTGCAAATTACTACTAAATAACAAGATTTAGAGTTGAGTCTGTCATTGTCTCCTGTGGATAAAGAAAAGGGCTTATTTTATTCCTGATTTTTAAATGGTTAATATATCATCATTGCTCACATTTACAAAGATGTTTTTTTCTGTGGGAAATATTAGTGAGTGGTATATGTGTTTCTTTGTAGTGTATGCAGTGCCTTGTCAGCATGAGCCAGTGAAATGCTGACATCCAAATGATACGGAGTTAATAGATGAGACCCGTTCTGCATACTCTGTTACCTACACAACACAGGAAACTTAGCTGATAGCATAGAACCCACTGCCTGGAATGCCTGGGACAGGTACATTCTGGTGGCCCTTCTGTTTCTTTTATAAACTGTTCTTGACTGTAAGGGTACTACCTATACAAGCTTAATGTATTCATTAGATCTGTAGATGAGGTGGTTTAGTACTTTTGAAAGAGGGCCTTTTTTTTTTGTTTTGATGAGAGAATTAGTGTGAGTGGAACAGAGTGACAGATTTCCTGCTAGTTTTTTTCTGCTATTGGATGGTAACCCAGAGGCTAATCATGATAGTAAGCTATGTAAGTGAGACACAGTTTTAAAAAATGGCTAATAAAAGTGGTACATTCAACCCTTGAGAGTTAATGGAAAGTTAAGAGTATTTGGAATTTATCTTTGACTTTCAGAGATCATGAAGGGGTTGTACTATTCTCTCACGAAAGAAGCCTTTGTAGCCACTATCACAAACGATAGTGATCACTTGTGACCAAAGTGATTCCTCTGGATACTATTATCAGCTATGTTCTTTATTGTAATAATCTGTTCACATATTTTGTTGCCTCCCAGATAGAGGCTTTTGAGGGCAAGAAGTGTCATCTTTTTATCCTAGCACTTTTCCTTGCCTCAGTACATATGGTAGGTGTTTATTAAATATTTATGAGTGAGTTAAGCATTCTGAAACGATCTTCATTCATTTATTCGGTTATTTATTCATTAATTAAATCTATAATATTTGTAGAGTAATGCCAGTAAATGGCCAATCAGAAAGCCCTCTGATTATTGTCTATAGTGGTTAATTGTCCTTAATGCGGCAGTTACAAAGGCTGAGAAAATGTTATATTGAGAATTATGTAACCCTCAATGCAAGATTTCCTCAGAAGTTATAATGCAGGAAAAAATGTGTTCAGATACCCCCAAATATAACAAGATGAGAAATAAGTGAGTATAGTAAAATAGATCTCCTTTTATTCTGCTGTCTGTAATTTCTCAGTAATACACATTTTTAAGAAGGCTGAGTATAAATAACTGACCCGTTCAGGGTTGAAACCCACATTAGTTCAGGTTGTGCTAATGAGATTAAATAGGCAGAGTCTTCAAACTTCTGTACTGTCCGTGCACTTTAACTGTGCTCTGACTTACTGTGACGCGAGACCGTAACGTTTTATAGCTGCAGTGCAGGGAGAGCCCATTCTTAGTTATTCCTGCTAAACCATGACAGATACAATGTTGTTCACAGGGCCCATTGTGTGATTTCCTGCATCCTGTGCCTGTTAACTGCGTAGAAAATGGAGACTTCAGTGTTTACTGAAGCACAGACTGCTTCAAGCATGACCAGTAGACTTTAACTCTAGGATGAGTTCACAGTAAAAGTAATGCAGTAACAGTAAAAACAGTATGTGCAGAACATTCACAAATAGAGTCACTTTCTTTTGTTTGTAAAGAAACACTGGAATTTTTTTTGTCCCTTATAATTATAGTTTCTTGTAGAATATCTGATTTTGCTTTTTTTGGCCTGTCATTATGTTACAGCTTTATGTTGAAAGTAGATTTTGTTAAACCATTTATTTGTTTATTTATAATTACTTTCTTTAATTTGGCCTATTTTTGGATATGCTTTTATATCAGCATTTTCCAAAGTATTCCCCACAAGAATAGTTAATAGACTTGGTTAAATAAAGTGGGAAGGCTTCTTTTATTGCAGGATAAGTCATTTCTATAGCTAGTATATGTAACAGCAGTGTTTTTGATTATTGTAGTGCTGATTTCTCATTGCATACTCTTTTGCTGTATACTGTTGCTGAACTAGCAGTCCTATTTTGTTTTCCTTGGAATCACACAAGATCAGTAGGTGTTTAAGTTATTTAAGAGTCCTCAGAGCATATAAAAAGCCAGAGAAGTCTGATTTTAATTAATTATTTTAAACTAAATTCTTTTCTCCTCAGTTATTTATCTTTAGAAGGCAAATATCTCAATTGATGTTTTTATGGAATTAAAAGAAGCTTAGAAAACAGAACTTTCTGGTTCTATACCTACTGGGTTTTTTTTGTGTGTGTGTGTGCAGTCCAACCATGAAACAAGTATCTATAAGTCACTTTCTCTGTAAGCTTGAATCTCCAAACTGTAAGAATGTTCTAGTATCTTAGCCAAGAGACTCTGTCAGCTAGAAAAGCCTTGAGATCATTGTGAGTTCAGGAATTTGGGGGGGTCTGAATGATTATTCCTAAACAGAAAATTTAAGAGGAAAAAAAGAGAGAAACTTGTCCTGAAAGATTGAGATACAGATTTTACAAAAGGTGATCATATTTTCCTTTGAAGTTTTGAAGATTTCTTGCTTGAGGGAACCTTACTATTGTTAATAGAACTATGGTGGGATACTTATGTTAAGAAAAAAACCTAAATTTTTAGGTAAATTTAGGATAACAGAGAACTTTTAATCTTAAAAGCTCTTGAAAATTCTTCACAGTCCTCTTCAAAATCACTGTAAAGTACTGCCATTTACCAAGGTATGCTTGGTTAAACTTGCTCTTTTTCAGGTCCCAGCATTCAAGATACTAAGTGGGCTCCGGAAATGACTCTGCATTTGTCCTTAAAGTTTTTTTAAAATATATTCTCCAGTTTGATTTTATGATGTTTATTAGAATATGTGATTTCTGTGTGTATTTATTTTCTAATTTTTTCTTCCAGTTTCATTGAGATACAGTTGACATACAGCACTGTATAAGTTTAAGATGTCCAGCATAATGATTTGACTTAGATATAAAATGATTATCACAAGCCCAGTGAACATCCGTCTTCTCATAGACATTTTCCTTGTGATGAGAGCACTTAGGATTTACTCTCTTAACAACTTTCATATATAACATAGAGTGGTGTTAATTTTATTTATCATGTTGTACAGTACATCCCTCATACTTAATTCTCTTATAAGTGGAAGCTTGTATCTCTTGACTATCTTTGTTTAATTCCCCCGTCCCACTCACCCACCGCCTCTGAAACTACAAATCTGATCTCTTTTTCTAAGTTTGTTTCTTTGCTTTTGAAATATAAATTGACCTACAACCCTGTTAGTTCCTGTTACACAACATACTTTTCAAATGATCACCACAATAAGTCTAGTTACGATATGTCACAATATAAAGATACCACATAGCTATTGACTATTCCCCACAGTGTACATTTCACACCTGTGACTCACTTATATTGCATTTGGAAGTTTATAGCTCTTAGTCTTCTTTACCTATTTTGTTCCTTCTCCCACTCCTCTCTGCTCTGATAGCCACCGGTTTGTTCTCTGTATCTACAGCTCTGTTTCTGTTTTGTCGTTTGTTCATTTGTTTTGTTTTTTAGATTCCACATATAAGTGGAATTATACAGTATTTGTCTTTGTCTGACTTATTCCACTCAGCATAATACCCTCCAGGTCCATACATGTTGTTACAGATGGCAAGATTTCATACTTTTTTATGGCTGTGTAATATTCTAGTGTTTGTGTGTATCTTGTTTATCTGTTCATCTGTTGATGGGCACACTTAGGTTGCTTCCATATCTTGGCTATTATAATAATGCTGTAGTGAACATAGGGGCACATGTATCTTTCCTAATTAGTGTTTTTGTTTTTTTGGATAAATACCCAGGAGTATAACTTCTGGATCATATGACAGTCCTATTTTTAATCCTTTGCAGAATCTCCATACTGTTTTATATAGTGGCAATGCCAATTTATATTACCACTAACAATGAAGAGGGTTATGCTTTTTACCAGTTGTAGGTTAAAAATTATTTGGATCCACTTTAACCATTGTGATATAATTTCTCTGGGAGTTAGTCTGTTTTATAACTTTTACAACACAGTTAAAGACTCCTTGACCTGGGTTACAGATCATGGTTCTGGCTCATTGTGATATTTATTAACTTGGACCATGTAATTAATATTGAGTAAGTGATTAACTACCAGTTGGTTAAAAAAAAACAACTCAGTAATGGGGCAAGCAGGGATGGATGAATAAGCAAAAATAGAAAAGTAAGTAGTTCATGATGTTGTATAAATCATTCAGATCAAAATTTAAACAGGAAAAAAAAACTTTCTCATGATTGAGATTAAAAATTCATCCCATCACTTGGAAAAAAGGCTCATGTGATTTTTGATAAGCACTTTTCTTTTCCCTTCCCCTCTTTTCTTTTTTTTCCTCCCTTCCTTTATAGAACTAAATATGTCTGGCTCTCTGATTTTGTTGTCAGACTAAAATTAGCCCACAGTGATCTGGTAACTATAATATTCAAGGGGAGGGAAATATGGTAAGTAGTCACACACCTCACATCTAAATCTGTGAATTGAGTGATCATACATCCCTTTTTGCCTGGGGATAGACTCACTGTTTACATCTGCTGTTTGTGTGTGATTATTAATAACTCTCCCTTTTACTATCTGAAGTTTCCAGTTTGGATGATGGAATTTTATGGCCACATATTTTGATAAATGATATCCATTTACTTCAAATACCAGTCTGTATAGAATCAGTGATGATAGTAACTACATGAAAACAATTGTCTGTTTTTACTCCTCCTCCTGGAAGCTTCTCTGAGGTTCTTCTTTGTGCTCTTCTCATCATTGTTTTTTATCTTTATTGATTTAAGTCTATAGTATCTCTCCTGTGCCTGTTCCCATAGCATAGTTGGTGCCACTCTTTCATTTGGAGTTCAAATTGTAATATTGAATGTATGACTTTGGCACTGTGGTTAAAAAGCAGAATTAGTGGAGCCCTTTATGGCCTGGTAAAAATTAAATTTCTGGGCAGTTACTACTATTTTCAGGGAGAAAAGGGAAGGAAGAGAGATTAGGGTATGGGCCATAAAGCAGCAGTTTTTTTTCTAAAAATAGTTTTGTTTGAATTTGTAAGTTTGTCATTAGGCATGGTGACTTGGTGTCATTCTGTGCTAGCTTACCTTATCTTGCTATAAAGTTCACTTAAGAAAAAAGGATTTAGCATAAAAATTTTGCTTTAATATTAAATGCTTAGCAAATTGATTTTGATTTCAATTTTGTGTGCTACAACCTGTGTATATTCATTATTTTGTATGAATTGCATTATATTCAGAATGTAGAATGATGAGAATAATGCTTATATGATGTGCTGTTTTAAAATCATTAATGTTAATGTTTTTAGCCAAGTTACTTGTCACTTTGTTGGCTATGAAAAAACTTCAAGCCTGTGTAGTGAAATGGTACCTGTTTAAACTGAATAGTAATTGTTTGTTTTTTTCCAGGTCATGTAATGTTTGCAGAAATAAAAATGGAGAATGGAAAGTCAAAAGGCTGTGGAACAGTCAGATTTGACTCCCCAGAATCAGCTGAAAAAGCCTGCAGAATAATGAATGGCATAAAAATCAGTGGCAGAGAAATTGATGTTCGCTTGGATCGTAATGCATAATTTGAAACCACGGTTGGAACATTCTTACATCTGTTTTGCTGAATCTCCTAGTAAAAGTCATTTTTTAAGTAATACTGAATGCTTACAGAAGTTGTAAAAATGAACTTTTAAAACTCCCACCAGCTTTTAACAGTATAATGTTAAATATACTGTGATTTTTGTTAATCTCAAGTTTGGGTTTTTAAAGACAGCAAGTCTGGTCATTCAGTTTAAATGAATGGTTATACTATTTTTAATGAAATAAGCCATTTTCTTGTTATTTTCAGTTCTACATAGTGGGATTTGTTTGTTCAAGTGTCCCCAGCTTTTATCAACTTATTGTAAGGTAAAAACATAGATGGTTTTTTCAAAACTTCTGTTTTATATATGTAATTGTCCTGGAAAAGGAAGGGCTCAGACAGACTAGGATATGATTTTGGTTGGATTGAGATTACTTTTTGTTGGCGATAAAGAAGTTTTAGATTCCAAAGTTTAGGAAGTTTTTATTTGACTTAAATGAAGAAATGGAGTTTTCCTTCTCTGCCCCTCCACATTGTTCACAGTTTTCATATAACACTATTAACATTAACCTCCACAGCCCCTTGTTTTATTATTTCCAATGATTCCAAGTTCATAAAGAACTGATAATGTAGCAAGCCCCAAGTATAACAACAGGCAGACTGCCCCCAACTTTCTGTCTAGTTTCCAGCCATTGAGATGAACTGCTAAGAAAAGTAAAATAATTGAAATGTTGAGAAAGATAGTTATGTAAGTTAGTCCTCCACTGTTCACTTCTACAGGAGCTGATGCATTTACAAATGCAGTTTTAATAAACCACGGAATGCCTAGGCACAGCATATCAAACACATTGGATCCCACGATGTTAGACATAGCCATATCTCCTTTGCCTGTAAGAAAAGCATGTTGTTAAAATGTGCGTACCAATACTGTATTTTATTAATAAGCTTCATAAAAAGAAAAACACTGGATACTTTTTGTTTTGGAAAATTGTATTGGAGCAAAAGTCTTACTGAATTTGTATTTTTTAATTTTGGGGGGTTAGTATTTAAAGTCTTAACATTTATTTATCTAATAATAATTATTTATTAAACCATTTTTCAATAAGGTATATAGATTACTTGTTGCTTTTCATTCTAACATGGTTAATTATTATTTAATGCACATTTCAGATGAAAATTGGGGGATTAGATTTAGTGAAATTAATCTGCTGTTAAATAGTAATCTTTCCTCTTGAGTCACTCTTTTTCTTTTTTTCTTCAAAGTATGCTACTGAGGAGATAAATATTCTAAAGATACCTTTGCTCAGTGTATTTCAGCCAGGCTTTAAGAATGGGCATTGCAGCTTGAGGGACCTTGTTCTTACCTTTTCTTGCAACCAGCACACTTGCGATTGTGTCTGGTATGCTTGTTCCTGCTGCTAATAAAGTAAGGCCCATTACTGTATCTGGAATTTCTAATGTTTCCCCTGTAATAAACATAGATATTACAAGTTACAAATCTTATAGATTCACTAACTGTTCTCTGTAGATATTTCAGATATTTCTTTCCTGAACAAAAAGGAAGTGGGCACATTTTAGATTTCAGAACCAAAATGTACTTAGATTTTAGCTGGCAAAATATTTGAGTCATATTAGTAAATTGGGTAACCTGGGTAGCACAGATTTTTAATGATGGATATCTAAAGATAGCTAAAGATACCAAGGAGTAATTTCCCTCCCTGATATGCTTACAGAAGTTTTTGATATTTTGATGTTATCAAGGCCATTGCTTAATATATGCTAATGAGATTGATCATTTTCTCTTTTTCTTTTTAAAAACATTTTTCCTAAAGTGATCAGATTTAAGCAAATTATGGATACCTTTTTTAAAACTGTAAATGTGTTAACATGGTATGCATTTTTAAAGTCGTACTTTAGTGATATACTTTAATTTACTGTTTTCTTTGGGAAAGTACCATAAATCTTAGGAAAACAAAATAGGATTCTCCTCTCGTCTTTCCAACGTTATGGTCCCAGTTCAGTACTTCTGTTAAACCTGATGTCAATTCAACATTTTTCATAAATGTATTCATTTTGGGAAACAGAACTAGAGGAAAGTTTTTTAGAAAGTACATGTAACTGCTCTTAATACTGTTATTGAAAACTTCCTTTAGAATCTTTACCTTCTTCCTTTTTCTTAAAATGTCAATTAAAAGAACTTCAAGTAGCATATTTATTGCATGCTTGTATATTGATATTGGAATTGTAATTGGTTGTTAATTTTTGTTCCTGCTTTGCCAGACTTCATATGTACACAAATAACACTAATACTTTTCATCGTCGGGGCTGTTCTATGATACAGTACTTGATTTTGCTCTTTTCTTGTTTTCCTAATGTCAAATGTGACCTGGCTGAGAAAATTTAGAGTTTTAATATGCAAGATATTGGACTTTTTCATCTTACTCATTAAAAAAAAGAAAAAAGAAATATTCCTAGAATACCTTACTATTCTGAGTCACATACTAATTTGGGAAAAGTCAGAGGCCAGCAAACTTGTTTTTGAAAGAGCCAGATAGTAATTATCTTAGACTTTGCGGCTGTATGATCTCCATTGCAGTTTTTCAGTTCTGCCAGTGTAGTGTGAAAGCACCCATAGGGAATATGTAAATGGATGGGCAAGATTATACGTTCAGTAGAACTTCACTTGCAGAAACAGAAGATCCAGTGATTTGGGCACAAAGATAGTAGTTTGCTCACCTCTGATATAGGTCCATTCAGGTTAACCTTTTTGGGAGAAATTCCTGACTTTTTTGTTCAATGTTTATATTCAGTTTTTCCTTCTGAACTAGGGTTTTGTGGGACTAGAGCTGGTTATGGCCAAGCAGTAATAATAGTTAAATCTTAATCATGAAGGTAGTAGAAACCTAAAATGAGACTTTATTTTATACCCTTTTTACTCATTTCATAGTACTTTTATATTGCCATATTAAAAAGCAAAATAAAATATAATCCAGTTAAACAGTGAACATCCATTGTTTTCTCAAAACACTGGCAACCTGCTATATTTTTTGTTAGGGGATGGAATTCAATATAAAGACTATATTGTAGTCCCATGCAATGTGAGTTAATTATGAGCATAAGAAAGACATTCTGTGAATTTGATTTCATTTATAAAATGATCCTTTGACTTGTAGCCCTGGGCTGTATAATCATATCCCTGTTATGTGATATGAAACTCACAAAACCTGAATGATCTTGTTGGTATATTAATACTTAATCTTTTGTAAATAGCACTAATCTTTAGTCTTTGCTGAAAAAAATTTGCTCTTTAGCTAGACTACGTTTAGTGAATATATGCTGATTGTTCTTATATAAAACTGATTGTTTTATTTCTAAATTATTTTCTTGTACTAGAGATACATACCAGTTATTGTGACCATCCAAACTAGGACATATGTGAATGCGGATATCCACAATGCTGACATGAAAAAGGTTATCACAAAATAATTTTTCCAAAACTTTCTTCTACAATCTGGTGTGGTTAGAAAAAGTAGTGTAATAATCGGAAGGGATAGTACCCAAAAAATTCTTTTTAAGTCTGCTTCAGGCATGTTGAAAACACTTGGTGGATCTGTTAAGGAAAAATTAAACGATTTTGAGTTTTCTCAAACGGCCTGTTAAGTTAGAAATGTCCATTTAGAAAGCTATATTGAAATAAATTAGCTGTATCAGTTTTTAAGAGGCTATTTAAAACATTCAAATACCTCATTACTGATATTGCTGGCGAACGGAAACTAATTGAGACTTCAGGGCAGATGGTATGAAAATGTCAGCATTTTCTCAGCATTTTTCGATTTAGGGCTTTGAATCCATCAAAGTGGCTTGGGTCATTCACTAAATGTGTTAGAGATATAATGTTTAGGAGGTGTCAGTTCAACATCTCTTGATTTCCCACAGTGTGGATAATCTTATAGTAATTTTTGCTTATAGGATTAACCTGGCATCTTAGCCACCTCAGTTGTCTCCATTTCCCAATACTGATGATTCCGCTAGCCTGCCTTGTGTATCAGATAATGTATACTTCGGGAGTATTTATACTCCCTATAATTATAGCAGAAATCTTTTAATTAAGTTTAATATTTCTAATTCAATTGTAAGTGATTGTGGGGATCTTGTTTCAGTATTTTTCATTAATTTCTAAACAGAATTCACAATTTTTGGAATGAACCTTAAGGAAGTAGAGACTAGTATAGAATCTGTAATGTAACTTATGAAACTTGAGTATGTTTCTTTATTCAATTTGTTCTATTAAATTAGTGGAAGACAATAATAATATATTGGATAAAAATGGGGATTCACTTTAAAATTGTTTAAAATTTGTGTCTTATTTATAGAATACTATATATGTTAGATCAGATCACATTACATTAATGCTAGTAAAATAACTCACAAAAATTTTTTTGCCAAACCTCAGCCAATGGGCCAGTAAGTAACATTAGATATAGTTTTAGTGTCATAAAAAAATCTGGGACTGGTTCTTTTGAGTTCTTGGTCACAAAATGTAATTTATAGATGTATACCTCTTATACCTGAAAAGACTAGAAACTATAATTTTAAGAAGGGAAAAAGTTATGTTTAAATTTCTTTAAGTAATAAGTGAGAGTAAGTTCCCTTTCTAAAGTACTAAATAAAATTTAAACTGTTTCTTACAACCACTTTATAAAAAAAACCCCATAAATTTGTATTTCTGGTCGTAGCTGAATTTGACTTCCTACTAAACATTTACTTAAATATTTTGCTACTGCTTCAAATGACATGCTTAAACTCAACTATTTCCTTCCTTCTTTCTTCTTCCTCACACCAACCCTTCTTCCTAAATTCCTAGTATTTGTAAGTGGTGTTCTTACTTTCTCGGTCAGTCATGACCGAAGCCTCAAAATTATCTCTGCTCCCTTTTCTGGCTGTACGTAACCCTGCAGTTGCCTAGTATTGGTGATGCTTCCTCTGCATTGTCTCACATCTGTTCTCTTTCAGTCCTACTGCCTTCACTCTGTCTACACAGACACTAAGCACATGAGTTGTTTTAGTAGCCTCTTAAGGGCCTGCATGTCCTTTATCCCATATTTCAGTTCTGATAACTTCCCAGCTCACAAGCCTGCAAGCACTCTTAATCTAGCATTTATGACTCTGTCCTATTCCTTTCTGTCCTGCTTCCCTCTGCGTCCACACTGTGTACATTCTGTGCTCCAGTTATGTTAGTCTTTGGGTAAGCCTTTCGCTCATGTTACTTCCTTGTCAATCCATGGAATACTCTTTACTGTTATCTCTGAGTGATCTGCTTATGACTAATAAGTAACAGCTATTGAAGTCTTTAATATTGAAGTCTAATAATAGTTGTTACATAGTCATAAAGCAGGTTGTTAGCTAAAATCTTACTCTTCTGCAAGGCTTAGTTTTAATGCTCCCTTTTCTGTGGTAGTCTTTCCTATGTAACCATCCTCATCAAATTTTATAACATCTGTCTCATTTAGGAACCACAGTTACTCTTTCTTTCTCTTTACAGTAGTTAAACTTTAATATTTTAGCTTTTTTGCTTCCCCCGCCCCCAAAGTATCGGAAGCTTCTTTAAGGATAGGGCTGCCTCTTCATCATTTCTGAGTCCCCATTGTGTTTTTTAAACTTAATAGGTATATAGTACTTGTGTTTGTGTTGCTAGTGAATACTTAATAGTGGGCAGAATGTGGTTATTACCTTCAGAAACCTGATTAAGACCATGTACGCTTACAGAAAGCTGGGAGTAGCCAGAATCTTCGTGAAATATTCCACTGTCGGTTCTTGATTGCCGACGGATGAATGGTTGATCCTCATCTTCCCATCCCATCAGTGGCTGCTGTTCACTTCTCTCTTCCATAGCTTTGGCGAGACAGGTACAGCAAGGACTGCATTTCTTTATAATATATTGATTAATTTTAATGTCAAAACACAGCACCAAAACATATAATCCGTATATCAAAAGTAGTGAAGTTCCTTCATACCTATAAATTAGAGAAATTTGTGTGTGTATAAATTAAAAGTGAAAGTTATTTTAGAGTTAATAGCTCTGGGGCAGTATCTGCTTAATTTTTTAATGCAGCAATAGAACAAAGAAATATGCTAGATATATTTTGGTTTTGTAGATGTGTCCAGACTTAGTTACAGCATTATTAAACATTTATTGATGAAAGTTTGACACTGTCCTTTATATTTCAAAAACAAGGATTATAAACTCCTGTCTTCATTTGTAGGTCCCTTCCAAATGGCAGGCATAAAAATTTCTTTGAAAATAATAGTAATTACAGATTTTCAAAGCAAAAGTGAAACATGATTGTGATTAGCTCTCCACCTCAGTTCATTGGAAGAGTATAATTATAAGAGAAAATAGTATATATTCTTTTCAGTTGTTCTAGTATGGGGATTTTGTGTAAAATATTCAGAATATGTTAGGCTTTGGCTGGAGCTTTTCAGTTTGCTATACAGAGTTTTTTTTGATGATTTTAATGTAAATGAATTTGGCTTGCATTCACAAGAAAACAAGAATATTCTCAAAAATAAAATGATACCTAAGGCACTGAGAACTGTTTTCCTATACTCTGGTTTGCTATTTAAAGAATTGTGATTAGCTAATACCATCACACTTGAACCTTGCACTTACCTTTTATTTTATAGCCAGTGAATCTCTGCTACAGCTTGAAAGCACAGAGTTCTTGGTTTCCCTAATGGAGGGATCATTAGCTTGGATACTCTCACAGTCATTGTCCCCTTTCAGACGACTGCTGAGTCCCAGAAGCATCCCTGTTGTAACCAAAAGTCTTTCCTTGCGAGAGAGACTAGGTTTCAGGATGATTCATTTAGAAATGTTGCTCCCTGCTAGATTTAAAGCTTCTTGACAGCAGCTATTTATGCAGTGCTGCCAAGTAGTGTTCTAGAAGGGTGCTGTTTACCTCATTTTCTGTTTTTCTAGTGTCCTCTGGCACTGGCAGTGTACAACTCATGTGGCCGTGTTTTACATTTCTTTATCCCTTAATACTCCTAGCATACTGATAAGCACTTAGTAGATATTTGGTACTTATTGACCGAAAAAGTTACTCTCTCCACTAAGTCATCCTCCATTTTCATTTTCTTGGAACAGCAAGACATGGGGAGATTATAAAGAAAACAAACAGGTTTTAATACTGAAACCTAAACATTTTTGATTTTTAGAGGAAGCAAGCTGTAGTTCCTCTTGCTAAATGAACATCAGAGAAAGTTGGAGGAATTTAAAGGGATTTTTTTTTTTACTTCCTTGTTCATCTTCTCTCTCCAATCTTATGACCACAGCCACTTCTAACTAGGCAAGGCAAACAACCCAGTAGATAACAAATTTGCCTGTTGGGGTTTTAATGAACAACAAAAGTTGGGAGACTTCCTGAACAGGCAGGCAGTGGGGAGAAGGAAGGGTGGTAAATCCAGTGGTTAGTGAGACCAGAAAGGAGACTGACTTGACTAAAAAGAAATTGCAAAGAAGGGAGAAGAACCGAACCAGCGATTGTGATGAGGAGGTTAGCTCAGAGACCTACTGGGAAGTGGTATGGACGTGGCAGATACTAGAGAAGTAACTGAAATAATGTTTCTGAAAAAAAAGAAATGTTACCAAACCATCAGAATTTTATAAAATCTTTTCTGTAATTGTTGTATGTAAGAGTTAATGATTGTTTCAAACTTACCAGTAAACTTGGTTGTCAAATATTATGGCAAGAACTGCCGCTACGCTAATCGCATATGCCGCACAGTCTCTGAATAGGGGCCAACATGATAGCGTTGAAACCTGCAAAATGGTGATTAATTTACTGTTTCCATTACACTGTAAATTCTTCAAGTACTTGCTTAGTCTAATACTAAAATTGTATATTTGTAGCTAAATATTATCTTTTGCATATTGCTTAGAGAAAAAAGAATTTTAAGAAAAATTGTGTTTCTAAACCGACTCTGATTTTCATAAACTTGACCAAGAGTTACTTGTGGGTTAACTTAAAATTGAATACATGTTGTTTTTCTACTGATTAATAAATTTAGTTGAACACATTACTAGTGCCTTGTTTGTTCTAGCCTATGAACAGTCCTTGTCATTTGTCAAGACAATAAATTCTGCTGAATGAAGTTTTCTTACCACATTAGACAGTAAGCCACAGGCTGCACAGATGCCAAGGAGATTATAAATTGCAGATCCAAGAATTGTGCTAATGCCAATGTCACCCTTTGTAATAAATACACCTATGAGCAAGATAGTAGGTAAGTTAGTGTTGACTTGGAGAGGATAAAATCACACCAACTATGCAAAAAATATAAGGAGCAATAGTTACCTAGGAAAGCAGTAACTAGTTCAGGAGCTGAGCTACCGGCTGCCATGAAAGTTGCACCTGCAACATCCTGAGACAATCCAAAGGCTGAAGACAAATGAAATTATGTTATGCCTGATAAAGTGACAAATGAAAGATAGAACTTTATAACGAAATGCAATAGGTGTCAAAATACATCTTCACAGAAAAGCACTAACACTAACTTCAACTGGAAAAATAAAACGTAGGTTAAAAATAGAGGAATGCAGTGTTTAGCTTGCTTTATTAATTCATTACTTAATGCTTCTGCGGAGAGAGAGAGAGAGAAGGCCAGGAGAGTATTGCAACTGCGCTGCAACTCAGTATTCTGAGTGCCACAATATGGAATTTTTTTGGGATCTAGAAAAGATTCCTTTATGGTTATAGGGCTTGTGGGTGTATGGCAACCATGTGACTTCTTTAAAATATACTGTCAATGGTGCTCCAATGGGAGCTGAGAAAATAAAGTAGCCCAGGAGTCCTAATCTACTTGAAAGAGGAACAAAGTGAAATACTGGTAGTTTTTAAGGTCTATAAATGAAGCTGAATTAAGGAGCTTATTCACAAATTGTCAATTTCAACCTTGTCTAAATACAAATGAAAAAAAATTAAAAACTCAATAAGGTTTTCTATTGTATAATTATAGTCTATTGATTTGAAATGTGGAATCATCGAAACGTTGCTCGAGTAGGAAATATAAGAAAATACTACTATTCTAATAGTTTGTAAGTTTTAAGTCCCTCAGACTTAAAAAGTATGCAAGTCCATTCTCTAATGATTAATAGGATGAGAGTCTTAAGAAATTTTTGGCCCTTTCAACTTCAGAGCTAAGGGATATACTCTGGGAAGGAAAGAGGAAGCCATGTTGAAGAAACTGCCTTGCTTTGGGAAGGCTGAGACCAAGTTGCATCAGGTCCCCCACCAGCCTTCACTGGCGGACTTAAAAATAGCTGCGACAGAGACAGCATGCTAGGCATTATTTGCCCTAGGTCACAAAGTTAATGTCAAAGTTAGATCTAGAATTCAGGTTCCCAAGGCTTTGATAGTAATCCTCTGCTAATGTTTATTGTTTATTGTACCTATTGGTTTTTGACAGTCTTCCCAGACCCTCAAACTTAGGTGTGCTTGGTGGAGTCTCTGTCACCTGTGATAGATGTTTCCTTATTACCTCTTGCCTTTGGGGACCATTACTGCTTAACAAACCCCAAAGCTATGAGAGGTATAAAATGATTGTTCTTTTAAGCCACTAGTTTTGGGGTTTGTTAAGCAGTGGAAGTTAACTGGAACCCTTTGTTGTATTTACTGAATACCTACCATGCCGAATGCTTTTTTATGTGCTAGGAATGTGGCAGTAACAGAACAGACAAATGCTTCTGCTCTTCTGGAGTTTAATTCTAGTGAGAAAAGACAGACAAAGTAAGCAAAATATGTATTATGTCAGAAGGAGCAAAAGCAGAGTTGGAGGTGGATATCAAATGTCATAGAGGAAAGATTGTAATTTTAGCTTGGGTAACCAGAGAGGACTTCACTGAGATGGTAACTTTACCAAGACTTCACAGTGAAGGAGCTAGCCCCACACAGACCTGGGATAGGCATATTCTAGGCAGCTGGAGTAAGTACAAAGGTTTTGCGGTAGAAGCTAGCCTGGGTGTTTAAGAAACAGAAAAAGGCCAGAGTGTATGGGGTGAAGTGTGTGAAGGGGAGCTGCAGATGGTGAGATCAAAGGCAATAGGTGGCCAGATCATGGAAGGCCTTGTGGATCCTAGTAAGGACTTCGGCTTTTATTATGAAAAATATGGCAGTGCTTGGAAAGCCATCCACAATACTGCCTGCTGATGATACCAGCCCCAGTCATCTTTTTTATCCCCGGGGGGTTACCTGGTGTCAGCAGCCCAACCAGCTCTAGTCAGAGCCATTTTGCCACCTGTTAAGCCTCCATTGTGAAGAGTCCTCTCAGGACAGTTGGAATTACCTAACCCAGGTCCTCTATCTTACTCTCCACTATTTGCCTTTGGTCATGTTGCTTGATGGACATCTACCTGTGATGACTGATGAAGAGAGACTAGTAATAATTTATGTAACTTATAGTTCCTAGCATTTCTTACACTGGTTAGAATGATTTTGTATATAGAAATAATACATATATATTATTTACACTCTTACTAAACTCTGATATATAGTAGAATCAATTGACCATAAACTTCAAATAGAACAAAATGAAGCATATTGTCTGTGATTAACTTTTTTCATTTTATGTAAGAAGTAAATAATGTCTTACATTCATGATATACAACTCATTTTCATAAACATAAATTAATAATCTCAACCACCCTCAGATATGAGTGGTGATATTTCCATTTTACAGTTAAAGAAACAGGTCCAGAAAGGTAAGTAACTCAAAGCGGCATGGAGAGTAAGGATCTTAAATGTGAGGAGTTAGGGCATAAACCCCATCTGCTGGTTCTAAGTCCAGTGCTATTTCTCTTTCACCCTAAAACCCAATATAAGAATGGCGCTTAGTTATAACGTGGGGGGTGATTGAGTCATTTTCTTCCTTGCCTTGGGCACTGGTACATGACTACCCCCATTCCATTTCTACCTCGGGGGAAAAATAGCTAATGGGAATCAGGAGTACTTCAGAAGTTTCCCAGCATATTCCAGACAATATATACATTTAGTGATGTTGGATATTACCACGAGTCCTCTTCTCAAATCAAATCAGGGCTAGTTAATATATGGGAGAAATTGAAAAAGAGCAAAATGCTTTACCTTGAAGTAACTGTCTAAACTCGGGGCAGCTTCATTTAATGCTGGCTGAAGAATGCTTCATTAGAAAAATTCAGTCTCAGGAGAGAAAATGTGGTCTATCTAGCTGATGCACGGGAAGAAACAGGTGGCCCTATTGAACACTTTCATTTTCAAAAAGTAGTAACAATAAAGCTTGTTGCTATGCACTGGGCTCTGAGTTATGAAAAGAAAGGTTTTGTATAGATGGATGTGTAAAACTTCAAAGATATTTTAACAAGTTATATCTTAAGGTTCAAAGCATATTTTGTAAAATAGTTTATACCTTTGAACTTTAGAATAGACTGTCTTTGTCTTCACTGACCTTTGGGTAGCATTTCTCTCTGCTATAGTTTATTATTCAAGATAAATTTTTCTTTTTTTTTTTCTTCCCCAGAGCTATTAGTTTCTTCCTCTCTATTACTCTAAAGGGGTAATCACATTTCCTCCAGGATATAGTGGAAATGTTCAAGGTGAGTTTTCTTTATAGGTTTAGATATTACATTGTTTATATAAAGTGGAAGTTTATGATAGTAAACTGATTACTAAAACTCATCACTTTCTCTTAAATGTGTTCTCTTCTATAATACCGTGTTGGAAAGTTTGTGACAGTTTTTGAAAATCCTCTTCTGGAAATATAATACAGTAGAAAGGGTTTTAAACTAAAATGGAGACCTGGATTCAGGCCCTGCCAGTACCTTAATGTGAGACTTTAGATAAGTCATTCAGACAAGCTGTGTATTTTGCCATATGAAAGAAAAAACACACACTGGACTACACAATCTTTAAGATATCTTCTAATGTTATCAATTTTTACTCAAAACGTGAACTATGCATTTTATGCCATAAGACTCTGTACCACTTCTTACTGTTAAATAAATTCCTTTTATAATTAAGAAAAACCTACATTATGTAAATTTAGAAGATGGAGGAGGGGAGAGGATCATTTATGCTTTCACCATTGTATTTTAACCACTGCTACTGGCTTTTATGTGTTTCCAGTCCTTTTCACAATGCACATTTTTTTTTTAACAGAGTTACAATAGTAGGCTACATGCAATTTGGTGATTTCTGGTACAGTTTTATAAAGTCCTCAATGACAGCAAATTTTCATGCTCTGTGAATGGATTCATGTTTTGGAAGCAATCAAAAGCCATTCAGACCCAATTCTAGTGACCAAGGTGGGTAGTCATGCTGATTAATTCTATTTAAGATCCAAAATGAAGTTTGACAGCAAACCATTTTTTTTTAAATTGAAGTACAGTTGGCTTACAATGTTGAGTTAATTTTTAGTGTACAGCATTGTGATTACTACTCAACCAATGTTTTTTATGATTTGCAAAATTGGTTCTGACATTAACTTCAAATATATTTCTGGGGATATTTTGAGTGACATCAGCATCGTTGGAATAAATGCCTAGCCTCTCAGTGCATAACTGCATATATATGATCTGTGATGCTTTGAACAATAAATCAAAATATTTTGAGTACTTTACAGTTATTATTTCATATTTTGTCTAGATATAACTAAATAAATTCTGAAACCCTGTAGAATGCTTTGAAAGGCCTGATTCCACTCAAAAAGGACTCCCCATGCCCTAATCTAACAGCTATAGCTATGCTATAATATTAATTTCCATCTGCCCTAAATCTATCATGTAAAGCATAGTCAAGACATTTTATCTCCAAACTTCACAATTACCTGAGTTTTGCCTCCATAACTTGCCCAAGGTCACATTGGTAGTAGCTCCACAGATGGGATGGGCACCTAGATCTTTCTGAGTTTAAAAAGCTGCTCTTTCAGTTATCCATGTAGGTAAAGTGAAGAGATTAATACATAGCTTTATTATTATGATTATTAATGGCATTACCTGTTCCTGCAATATCATCTCAGTGATATCCAGACCACTTGGCACTTATTTAGACCCATACACCTAGGGCAGATTTAGATGCAACCCAAGGGGACCATAATATATTTATTTATTTATATTTAAAATTTAGATTAGATTAGAGGAAAAAGAAAAAGAGGGTGAAAATGCCCTTAAGAAGAAAATGGGTACCTGCGTGGCAGGGAGGAATTACTCTTCTTAGATTCTTTGTTCTTTGGGAAGGCTTTGCCTCTGTAAATTTCATAAGGATTAAGAATCAAACAATCCCCTGAAACTGTTGGCTATCCAAATGCCATACTCACAGAATTATCTGACTCTCTTTCAATTTTGTCAATTTAAAACCAATTCTACCTGGAATTAAAGCTTGCATTTCTTTCTTATTGTCTGTTTCTGAAA